GTTGTTGTTGTTGTTGTCGTGGTTGTTGTTGTTGTTGTCGTAGTAGTTGTTGTCGTTGTCGTACAAGGTGTTGATGTTGTTGTAGTGGTTGTTGTTGTAGTGGTTGTTGTTGTCGTGGTTGTTGTTGTTGTTGTCGTAGTAGTTGTTGTCGTGGTTGTTGTTGTTGTTGTCGTAGTAGTTGTTGTCGTTGTCGTGGTTGTTGTCGTTGTCGTACAAGGCGTTGATGTTGTTGTAGTGGTTGTTGTTGTAGTTGTTGTTGTAGTAGTTGTTGTGGTTGTTGTTGTTGTAGTTGTTGTTGTCGTCGTTGTTGATGTCGTCGTTGTTGATGTCGTTGTTGTTGATGTCGTCGTTGTTGATGTCGTTGTTGTTGATGTCGTCGTTGTTGTACAAGGCGTCGACGTTGTTGTTGTACTTTGAGTTGTAGTTGTGGATGTTGTCGACTTTTCTGCCTTAGGTGTTGTTGCTTTCGGTGTTGTTGTCTTTTCGGTTACTGGACCAGCAGTTGATACCAGAGGAGTTGTTGCTTTCGGTGTTGTTACTTTCGGTGTTGTTGTCTTTTCGGAGGCTGTTGTTGTCTTTATAGTTGTTGTCTTTGTGGATTTCTCCGCTGGTGTTGTCGTCCGTCTAGTTGTCTCACAAGGTGTAGTTGTTTCACTTGGTGATTCTGCGCTTGGGGTACTTGTTTTCGTGCAGGGTGGGGGAGCTGTAGGGGCTGTCTTAGTGCACGGTGGCTTCGGAGTTGTTTCGCAAGGAGCTTTACCACCTGGGGCCGCCAGATGATCGTCGTGAGCATCTCCAGTGACTATCGAACCACTGCGATCGCCATTGTGGCACTCGACAAGGCGCGGTAGGTTGCAGATCTGAGTCCTGGGATCAAAGTACAGGCCATGTCCGCACTCTCTTCTCAGTGCACGGCCGCGTAGGCAAACATAGAAGCTGGAGCAGCTAATGGGATCCGCGAACGAGAGTCCATTAATATGATCCGTGCAGTCAGGAATGTGTGCCTCGCCGCTTGCAGCCAGAGAAGCCAGGGCAGTCACAAAAGTGAGCAGCAGCAAGTTGTCTATAAAACGCAATGCCGCATGTACAAAAAATACTCAAAACATCACGTCCACTCAAGAACTTACAAACTCTCATTGTTAGAAATAGTCCTGCTCTTTGCTTTTACCGTTTGGAGTAATCACTTCTCCACTGTCGTTTGACTAGAGCTGCTGCAGCGTTTATATAGCGACCAACGATTCACTTATCACCAACCACAGCTACGTCAAGCATTGCTCAACCACTTGACGGCAACACATCCCTTACACGAACATTACGGAAACACCTTGTCAGAAACGAGATACACATTACCCTAATTGACGGTTCGACATTAGAATATTACCAATAATAATAATAATAATAATACTAGTTGAGTACGTTATGGAATATGTCTCTTCTCAGTTTGATATTCATATATCAGATATTAAGCTCGGAAAAAGTTTCAGTCTTTAGAAGAGGAAAATGAATAAGATAACGGAGCAACAGAGCATAATTTTTATCACTCTTTACTCTTTATTATATTCACAAAGAAAATATATAGAGAATAAAACACGATATTTGGAATTGCTCAACACATCATATTTTTTATTTGCTGGAAAAAGAAAGGCGAAAAAAGTTTGTGTGCTGTAAGAGGAAGATTTGTCAAATATTTGCGTTTGGCATTTGCCAGCCACCCAAAACACTTGTGGTCCGACAAATGAATGAATATTTACCAAATTTGTGCACAATTTATGAGCACTGCATGAATATTTCAGTTGACACGTCGACTTCCCACACACATTCACGAGCCCTTGTTGTCCTGGCAGCACCTTCTGTTACTGTACCCACAGCATGCTGCTGTCTCTACTTGCATTTCAAACATTGTTGACATCATATGTGGAAGGCAGCCTCAATTGAGATATCAATAAATGGAGTTATTTCAAACTGAAATTCAACAGAAATATTTAGCTTTGCAATCAGCTCAGATTGTGCTACTAAATAGTTAATTCATATATATTAGTTAGTTAATTCATATATAGACACTGTTCCACTATCTATGATTTTCACACTTAGAAAATACTCAGCAATTTTCAACATTCAAATTTTCATTTAGGGAAAATGTATTTATTTACTTGTCATCACTTATGATAATCGCTTAATACTTATAGCAAATAATTGATTTGCCTCTTTATAATTTTTTTACTTTATTTTCTTTACTTATTTTTTTTTTTATTCAAGCTGCAATAAAAAACACAAACCAACGAAATCTTTGGAGAAGTTGCACTTGAAATTCTTGCAAGTCGTTAATGCTAACTAATGTTTATTTATGGTATTTTCGTTTATCTGCTTGTTTTGTTTGAAATTTTCTTTTATAGTATTTTTGTATTTTCTCTGTTTTGTGGAATATTTATTGTTGAAGGAACGCTGTAGTTTACGTGTCCAATACACACACATTCATATTTACAATTGAAGTTGCATTTTTATAGATATTTGTTCTTTAGAATCATTGTTTACACACATTCAAAATTCTACTCTTTTTTTTTTTTTTTTTTTTTTTGGTTGTTTTTTTTTTTTTTTCGTTAAACATAAAGTAAAATATTTACAATTTAGGCGGAGCCAATGTGAAATGGATCTACGCAAATGCTGATTTTTGCTTCGGAGATACATTCATGAATCATGAGTTTATTTATCTTGAATACGTTTTGTTTTCATAAATATCTGGATTTTTTGCAGACATAGAGAGTTTAACTATTAGGATTATCAATACATTTAAATATGAATTTTCCATTTTATTGTACACTTATAATTATTAATTTTATGTTGGTAAGTTTTGGCTTCCAGTTGGGCGTTTTTATTATTCTTAGCTTCTCAATAAGTGGTCTGCTTTTGCAGATGATTTTTATTTCCGAATTGCCTTACCTATAGTGTTATAATGTAAATACAACCATAACTCAAACCGCATCTTAGAGATTTCGAACTAAAGATTCCTTTCATGCGTATTTACATAACTCTCTGGAGTTTTCAATATCCTTGATTTGATTACCCAAAGGAGAAGAGATCGAAATATTTCTATGAACTCAGAATTTTAATGAAAACTAATTTTTCTGGCAAGTTTTAAAATATGCAAACACTCATACACATATCAAGAATCCACAAGCAAGTACTAGAAATATGTTTTTGATTTTATTTATTTGTATTTTTGTCTGCAACAGATGAGAGCGTGAATGCATTTGTAATGTATCTATTTGACAAAGTCGTGGCTAGAAATGTATCTCTCATTGTTGGCACTTAAAGTTCTACGCGTAGTCTAAACTGAATCTCAGCATCTTTATTTCGTCCTGCTGGTATTCCTGTTGCCGCTGCCGCTGCACTCAGTGCTCAAGTTTTGTCCTCAGCCACTTTCGTGCCACTAATTGAGCTGCTGACGTGGCCACAGCTGCCACCGCAGGCGCCGTCATCGAATCCCTGCCTGCGGGTTGTCGTCTGCATCTGGGAGCAGAGCCTGCGGCTGACACTTGCGCCAGACGTTGTCCTGTTTTTTGTGCTGGCTGGCTCCTGAAGCGCTGCTGCCGCTGTGCGCCTGTTGACTTTGTTTCGGCCTCGATGGCTGGTGGACACAAATTTAATAATCCACAACAGTGTCAAAATTGTTGAAATATTCCGCCACGGCGAATAGCCAGGACAACCAATTAGTGCATTCCAGCTGACGCTGCCCGATTTAATAGCCGATGCGGAGTATTCACCTGGATGGTTACAGAAAAACAAAAACAAAATCAAATGTGTTGGCTTCTGCTTAGGACTGGACTTCCAACTACGCATATAAATACATATTCAATTACAAACCAGTTCAGCTATAATTTTGCATAAAATGCGTGTGTTTATAAACTGATACATGCGGATGGACATGTGTGTGTGTGTGTGTGTGTGTGTTACTAGTCGATTGAATAAATATAGGCATATTGTAATTAAATATTTCTATGGTGAAATTGAACAGCAAACACTAAAGCCGAGAAGAGCAAATAAAAGGGCGCATAAATTAAGAGACATTTGAGCATCGTTTTATGGGCGGGCCAGGCTCAGCCCAAGGCAGAGGCGTGAAATATGCACAAAACAAATATTGGAATTTAATATCAACAACAACAATGCCAAAATRAACTGGTTCAGCAAACAGAGTGCACTAGAATAAATGCTGACTAAATTAAATTCTGGAAAGAGCAGAAGCTAAAAATCACATCGCATCAAGAAAATTATTTTCAAAAGTTTAATAACTTAGGTAGCTTCTAATGTTAATTTCAATTTACTAAAAATAATGAAATGTTGGCAAATTGAACATTTTATGTTAGTAAATATATATCTGTAAATAGAATCAATTTCAAATCTTCAAAAGCAATTAAACAAAAACTGATAAACTGAAATAATATAGTTGCAGCAATTTTAATGGCTCTCATATATATTTTAATTGTAAATGTTTGAATGAAATTATTTACAAATACTTAAAGCTCAACAGAGACTAAAGGAATATTTTAATTTAAATAATATAAATAAATGCCTGTAATTTCATCAGCTCAAATATTTATTTCCATTTGGCATATTTATCAACAAATGCATTATTTAAACAAGGTCAAAGGCTAGCGCCATATGTATATATTCAATTATCATAAATATTGCACTACGTATAAAAAATATCGCGATTCCAAAATGTTTGCAAACCAACAAAAATTAAAATATATATGCGCAGCGAATTGAGCTTGGCATTGAATTTTAGATTCAAATTAATTGCGAGAATAAATCATTTATTATTAATTCAAAATAATTAAACATAGCTAAGTATTTGACCCAGTTTGGCATGTATATAATAAAGAGCTTCATGTCGTTATAGAACCCATTCGTAATGAAGTAGTAATGCAACTCCCCTATCAACTCATTTACTCAACTTATCAACTCGTATTACCTCTTCTTGCTCGGCTGAATATTCTGCCATATCACATACCATTTCGACTTGGCATAAAATACATATATGTTATGTATATACATTATGTATTTTACATTCATATTATTACATTATAAAATAATATAAATTATGTCATGAAATAAAATAGCGGATGCTTGCGTGTGTGTGTGTGTGTGTGTGCCTGAGTAAGAGCAGAGCACATATAAATGATAATATCATTGAGCTATTAATAATAATTTGTCACGATTGTAATTGTTGTTTTTATGTTCCCGGCTCTGCAACGGCCACAGAATTATATTAAGTTTATTAACCCTGCAGCGCACTTATGTAAAAATTCATCCACAACAGTTTTATGCTTTTTCGAATTTTCAACAATAGTCGAACAACCTGGATGCTTTCATTTCATTTTTTTATTCCACTGCTGTCCAATCCACTGTTAAAATACATAACAAATGTCTGAAACCCTCCCACTCCCCCACTCGTGGTGCACCCCCGCTGCTGTCATGCCCCTGTTGCCTAGTGATTTTTATCAGTATCCCGCTTTAATATGTTTTACTCATTTGGGCGGATTAAGAGTGCTGGAGGACGCATGTTATCTGCGCCAATTAGTCGAATATTAAAAATACATAAATTTTACACAGTATATTTCACTTGTTTTTCCCATTTTTCATTTCAGCTTTTCGCTCTTTGGCTTGAAGCTCTGTGATAATGTGGAGATGCAATCAATTAAAATGGATGAACATGCGCTTCGAAATTTCCGCGTGTGTGTTTTATTTTTCACGATTATCAACCATTTCTGTGCACTTCATTAGGGAGACTATTTAAAAGTATTTAGTCAAACATAACTGTGAAGCTATTTGGGAAAATTCACAGCTTCTGCTTGGGAGCTTGTATAAAAATGTATTATTATTAAAATAAAATGAAAGTGTTTCTGCTTCAATGAAATGATTTTCAAGATCATTGATTATTTTAATTTCTACTTGTCATATGTGAAGCTGTACTAGTCTGTATCTTTAATCTATAACAGTCGGTACTTGAAATTTGGTTTAATAAATTTGTTTGAAAATGAATATATTTTATAAAATTTGATGTAAAAATTAAAAAATGTTTGGTTTCTCTTTTGTTTATCGTTAGAGCCATGTGTCATGAATAATTCCAACATGTTCACAATTTATGCCTTGTTTGATTTGAAATGGCAGGAAACAACTGTTCAGTGGCAACCACAGCGGGTTGGGCGGGACGGGGCGGGGTGTGGCTTGCATGACAGGTTGACAGGCACGCCCTTGAATCATTGTTTTGTCCCTTTTTCGACGCTTTGGCATTTACAATTCAAACATGTGGAGCACTTGACAGTCGCATAGAATCCACACGAACCACAATTTACCGTCAAATCCAATGCCATTTTTATGGCCATTATTTAAAATACCATTGGCCCCAATAAACGTGCTGTTGTTGTTGTTGTCGTTGTTGTTGACTGACAACGTGTAAACGACAAACGCAAAGCGCACACCTGTCCCTCAAGCCAGCCAGCCAAGCCAACCAGCAGCACATCAGGTGTCATCCACACTTAGCAGGCAGCCACTAACCACCAACGCCCCGTTTGCCGCTCCACCCACATGCGTTCCAGGGGCGAATTAAAGCAGCAAGCTTCAAGCGGAACACATGTCAAAGTTGACATACAAGCACAGCTCAAAGAACAACAACAACATCAGTACAAATATTGCAAGTCAAACGATTTAAATACAAACAGCAATTGCGTATCGATAAACAAACATCTCGCAGCGCTTGAGCGATACAAGGATATAAAGATACATAAATACAGCCGATACGCCAGATATACGAGGAGCACAGATACAAATGTATCTCTGCGCTGGACAAACAGTCGTGGCAGCTATGCTGGCTATGTGTGTATTACAGTGTTTATAGGTCATCATTATCATTATCATCATCATCATCATTATCATCATCAGCAGCAGCAGCAGCAGAAGCTACGTGCCTCTCATTCTCGCTGTCGTCTTTTGCTGGACACGAAGCAAATAACGCAATTGTGGGACATTTGGAGATAACAATAAAACTGCAGCAGTTGTTTTTGTTTATATTGTTGCTGTTGTTATTGTTATTGCTGTGAAATGTTACTTCTTCTGTCTGAGTGACCATCAGCAAAGGTGCAGAGTTGTGTAAACAAATAAAAGCTAAATGGTTGAACGATGGAAACTGAAAGGTGAAACTAAGGCAAAAAGCAATTTAACTATCTGTATAAGAAGAAGAAAATATAATATGTTATCAATAGAAATAAATATATGAGTAATAACGAAAAGTAATGCTAGTCAACTTTGCAGCAGGTAAAATTTCACAAGATATATAGAAACATATAAAATGGAACAAGATGTATGTACATGTAAATGACTCTTATACATGCGCATACTATTTCTTTATAAGCATGCATGCAGCATTCAATTTAATTTCAGTAAATTTGACAGCGAAACTTGCGGTTCGAGACCACTGTGCCTGCGCTCGCGAGTCGAAAGTCAGCGAAGTAAAATTCAATTAGGCTAAATGAAAACTTAATTCTATTGGCATGCAATACAAAAACATTTGGCACCAGCCACACAGCTTGGCCAGCAACCAAGCCGAGCGGACGATGCCCTGCCCCCTTCTTCACTCTTCCGACGTCATGCGGACTTACCATTTAGCACGTGCAGAACAATGGTGCGCGGAGCGCTGTTCGAGGGGCTGCATGTATAGTTGCCCGAGTCGAGCTTCACAACGGCGGGAATGATTAGCGAGGCAGCCTGAAAGTTGAAAATAAAACAGAACATATCTGAAATATATAGCATATACATATATGGCTGGGGCAATGCGCTACGCTACTTGAGCTGCCCAGACAGCTGACAGACGCCGCGGCGGCACTCGGGGCGTATGCGCGACGAAATGCCACGGCGGGCAATTGGAATGGCGGTTAAGTGAAAGCATTTAAATACAAAATATGCACGCCATCATATCATATATTAAAATTATAATATGACGACGCTGACAATTCTCGACAACGTTGGAAAATTGAATAAAACTGCCATCGCACGCTTTGTGGGGGTAATTCGCGTGGTGAAAATCCATTTAGTCAAATGCACTTGCCAAAAATCTCAGCTTCTTCTCTCTCTCTTCTCGTAAAATTGTGATTGCAATAATTGATTTATGAAATTGTAATAATGTCTGTATTAAAAACAAAAAAAATAAAAAATAAAAATA